TAGAAGAGATTCGTTACGTAAACTGGGAACATATGTCTGAGATTTTGAATGTCCGTTGAATGTCCTTTGACCCAAAAAGGTTGGAGAAGAAGATCTAGGGTTTAAACTCCGAGACTGACGTATATCAATAGACATTGATGTCCAGGTTCTGAAGTTGAGAGACTTGTGTATGTATGACTTCTTGCTTGCTGGCTGACTTCAATATGTGAAATTTTACTCTTGGTTAGAGAAGGGCCGAGTTCCTGGAGAATCAGTAACCTGTCACCGTGCGTTTAATCTTGGCAGCAGTTTAGAAGTGGTTGGCCCTTGCTTCTTGGGATGCCCTTGCATTCCTGGTTAATTTCCAATCTGGCCTGGTCTTCCTTAGGTCTCTGTCCAGAAAGAATCCGCCAGATCAAGAACAAATCGCGCCTTTTGCGTTTAGAGAGAATTCTGAAGAAACTTTCAAAGCTGTAGACCAGGGGTAGTCAACCTTGGCTCTTTTATGACTCGTGGACTTCAACTCCTAGAATTCCTGAGCCAGCTAAGCTGGCTCAGGAATTCTAGGAATTGAAGTCCACGAGTCATAAAAGAGCCAAGGTTGACTACCCCTGCTGTAGACCGAAGTTTAGGAAAATTAACAGGTCTTCCTAATTGGAATGTTGACAATGCATCTTCTCTAACTATTCATTTGTCCTCCCCTCCCCACAGTGTAACGTGCCTGAAGGTGGACTTGTCCCCAAATCGCTGTATCAAACAGATGAAGAGTCTGAAACCGCGGATCACATTCGTCTCTGGACGGAAACCATCTATCACTCTGCAAATATTTTCAAAGGGGCTCCCCAGGAGGTAAAACCAGAAGGTTCTGTTCTGTCCCAGCCTATGTGGGTCCTTGTTAACTCACAAGGACAAAACCCTCTTTTAACAAGTAGGCTGGAAATGCAGGAAAAACAAACCCCTTTTATTAATTATGTACAGACCTGCAAAATGTCCCCAAAGCAAAGGCAAACAGGACACGATGCAAACAGCGAATTGTCCAAAGGCAAGGCAAACCGAACATGATTCCATGCAACTTGAATCCTTTGCAAACGGTTGCCTTCAGCAACCAGCACCGCCCACACCTTCCCTTTTCATTATGCGTGGCTTCTCAATGCCTTCTCCTCCTCCTTTGGAGTCGCCCCATGGCCTCCCTCTGTCCTGCTCTTGTTGCCTGTCTGCATTTGCGAGCGTCTATGATGTCTTCCAGCTGTGAGTCCTCTGACTCAGCTTCCCAGCACAGCTGGGTCTCAGCCTGAGCACGAGTGGAGGGGCCAGGCTCTTCATCAGATTGTAAGTCCTGGAGCTCATCAGAGCCTTCCTCCGATTCTGATGGCTCTCCAGGCCCCTCCTCCTCCTCCTCCTCTGATTCCCTGGACTCAGCTGCCAGGTCCACTGCCTGGCACGGAATCACAACAGGTTCAATGGAAGATGCAGTAGGTATATTCTACTTTTCTAGGCCACCCAACAATGACTTGATTAAGGTTCTGAAGAAACAGGAAGAAGAACTAGGTTTCCCCATGTTCCTGGTGTCCTGTCCCTTCAGCTGCCGTGAATATGTTATGCAGGAAAGAGGAAAGATTTAAAACTCAAGTTTCTTTGTAGGCACGTCAATCCTTGGCAAGAAGTGGTAGGCTTGTGTAACAGATGTATTTCTGGGGGTGGGGGGGGGAGAATTTCCAGCCAGGCTGGAGGGAGATATTAAGACGTGGTTGGATCCAGAGTCTTTGCACTGGAAAACCTCCCAGTGTTGACCGGATCTTAGAAGGTCTAATTTTATCAGCAGCCTCCCTGAAGAAACTGCCTGGACGTAAGGTTTTTCTGTCTTCTAATCTAGATAGTTGTAGAGATCCTGGAAGGTGAATCTGTGATCACTTGGGATTTTGACATCCTCAAAGGAGATGTGGTGTTCAGCCTCTTCCATTCCAAACGAGCCCCCGAGACTGTCCGCAAGGAATCTGCCATGCCAACTGCTTTGACATCTGGGGAAAACGTTCAACTCATTGGCAAGAGTTGGGTCCTGGGAGTGGACTACAGCCGTGTGGAGACTCCTTTGGTCTGCCGTGAAGGCGAGAGCATCCAGGTCAGATTGTCCCCCCAAACGGTTCAGTGCCGCCGGGCCTAATCCTGATGAGAAAGCAAGCTTTTTCTATAGGTCTGAGCCAATTCTGTGGAATTTTAACATGGGCTAGAGATCCCTCAGTGACCGATGGACACACTTGATCGGTGGGTTGCATTGTTAGAAAGCTTTCCGCGGCACTCGGTGCATGGAGATGATCAGATCTCTGCGATTTGTAACGTACCTAAGTGTGAAGAGTGTTTTGCCACTCCTAATTGCACATGAATTAACTTATTAAATTAAGAAATGGGTTGCAGGGCAAGTTGAAAGAGTAAAAAAATAATGCAGTAGTAAGCGATTATCATGGGAAATGTGTGAGAGATAGACAGATTGACAGGTAGATAAATGACAGACATATATAGATTGATAGATGAAGTATGTATGTATGTATGTATGTATGTATGTATGTATGTGTATGTACATACAGAGAGAGAGAGAGATAGGCAGGCAGGCAGATAGACAGGTAGCTGGATGATAGATGACAGATGGTAGATGATAGATAATAGACAATAGCTAGATGATGTCTGTCTATCTATCTATCTATCATCTATCTATCTATCTATCTATCTATCATCTATCTATCTATCTATCTATCTATCTATCTATCTATCTATCTATCTATCTACCTACCTACCTACCTACCTACCTACCTACCTACCTACCTATATACCTGCCTGCCTGCCTGCCTGCCTGCCTGCCTGCCTATCTATCTATCTATCTATCTATCTATCTATCTATCTATCTATCTATCTATCTATCTATCTATCTATCTATCTATCTATCTATCTATCTATCAATCTATCTATCTATCCATCTATCTATC